CTAATTGTACTCTATTGCAATTACGACTGTTAATCCCAATATTCAGTTAGGACTAGCTGCGTAGGTTTCGAGAGCTGCTCACTTGTTGCACCCCTTCTGTTTAGCAGTTCTAAATTAAGAAAGGTTATACCTTAATACCTGGCTTTTTAGTTCACGTATTGTATAAGTAGTTCAGGTTAAAAACACCAAATACTAATAAATGTCTGATGTAGGTTTATGGCTGAAGCTTCCTTGTATTGATTTTTTATTTATTACGTAGGGGGGTAGAATAGATTGTCATAGATAAATATTGCCTCCTTCCCCTACACACCAAGCTCTTTTTAGACTTGATATGAAAGAAGCCGTTAACAGGAAAGTGGGTCAACAATTCAATGGCTTGAACAAGTTAAAACTTATTAATGACTAATCAAATCCTGTCATACATTAGACCAGTACTGCTGACAACAAACAAATGAAAAACCAAATACAGACGAACAATTAATAATACTATAATCTCCTTTAAGGGACCAACAGTTAGATAAACCACGCAACAGCAACAAAAATATTACGCCTGTCAAGTTATTCAAATTATGGTTGATTTTAAATAAGTGGATTGGATCTACTAATATTTAGTCAAGTTAAAACATTATTCCAATATATTTATTTCAATATTACATAGGTCCGAAAAATTTATAAAGAATAGAAATAGTTTGAAAAAATACAGATATAACTTCACCACCTTTTTTTTATTCTACGTGTTTTTACTGTAATAAATACATTACACTTAATACCAAAATAAAGACACCAAAGTATAAAAAAAAACAAGTTGGTAGAATTACATTCTCTGTCCTTTTTCAAAGTATTTTACTGCTACTTTTCTTTGTATATTTTATAAAATATACTGGATTTTATTCACCAGCCATTTTTATCTTATGTTGTTTTTAATATCATGAAGATATTTCCACGTGAGGAACATCAGAGCTTCCAACACACCGAATGATCGTGAGACTCACGAATCTGGGCCTAATCTCACGCTCACACGTATTAATAAAAAATATCACGTTTTGGTCAAATTAGCAGCTTTCTATAACGCATTATAGTTGGCTGGCCAGCTAGATCCAGCATCACACTGATCAAATAAATGCACAATTTTGCTTTATTGAAAAACAATAAAATAAATATCTGGGGAAGACAAAAAAAAAAAGAGTAAAACAAGTTAGCCAATAAAGTAAAAAGGAACGTTTCTTATGAGTTGGAAGGAGTTAATCAGATTCTCTCGAATGGTATTCAATTATTGTTATAAGTTATTTTTATAAAGTTATAATTTAGATGTTAGCTAGATGGCCCAGAACGTTAAGATCAAGCAAGTCCTAGCATAGCTAGAATATTCGGAAATCTTACTGATCGAGAGACTTTACGAAGTGTCAAGAAACTGAGCTACAATTATAAATACGAGTGAACAGTTAGTTCAGGAGTGGTGAATAGTGAATGAGTAGGTCTAGCTTAATGAAGTATTTGGATCAGTGCTAGTGGTCGCGTATTTTCTGATAATCGATTGATTAGCCATGAAATTATACAAGTTTATTTTTGCGTTTGAACGTCATTTGTACACTTAAGTCTACATGTTACAACAAGTGTAAAAGCTTGTAGAATCGTTAAGGAAAAAAATAATCGAATATATTATTGTTAAGTGGACTAGATTTCGATTTATTTTTACCAAATAATTTAAAAGAATCCACCCAATAAAAGAGCAACGTTACAACAATATGTAGGCCACAGGCCTATCAAATTGCAGATACCCTGTGTGATACATGTAAACTACTACCAAAATTGTATGAAAGAATATATACATGTTCCAATGATAAAGCATTAAAAATTAATAACTGCAAAAATAAAACACACACACACACACTTATGCTACAGGTGTATAAAGTTTTATTTCTAACCATATAATTCATATGTACAAAAGTTTACCTGTAGGCTACATTTATGTGACCTCAATGGGAATTATCATTTTATTTAGCACAAATTATAAATACCAGCAATTAGTCAATCTTACTGGTTCATAACTCTCTAGATTAACAGATATTTGAAATGTGCACATATTAAAGTAAAAAATATTCACTGCAAACATGTTTATAGAACCATTTGCCTGTAAAACAAATATATATCCATACATCATTAAAAACTGGTTTCACCTTGCTTAACAGAGTTCAAATGAAACCTTCAAAACAATGTCTTTATGATTTTAAAACAACAACTATAAACATTAAAATGTTACAGAATGTTTTACAAAGTATTGTGCATAAAACTGTGAAGTTATTAATTTTCCATTTAGAACAGCCATTGGTTAATTCATTCATTTTCTGTAAACAACAACTGCAATTACAAAAGTTAGTAAAGACAAAACTAGGAAAAGATACATGTGTGTAAAAGAATGCAGTGACTATTCTTTAAAATTTCAGTAAATCAATGTCCTGTGCAACCAGGAATGGAAAACTAACATCAACATAACTGTGTGAGGTCAGCAATTTTATAAAGCAGTTTTTATTGACAGTATGTTTTTTAACTGAAGTTATCAGCAAGAAAAAATATATCAAACGCATGAATAATTCTACAAATGTATGTGGCTAAACAGCACTTATGACATTTTTACAAAAGTATCGATCAATACAACTAAATTAACTGTAAAACAAATATGTGTTTAAACAGCAAGACAGTTGTGTTGTTACAATCTTTATAGAACAGCTACCTTATAAACAACAGACAAGTAAGCATGTGTGATCAATAACAACAAAAATGCATATCAACAACAATGTCTTTTTACAAACATGGATTATATTACTATACAAGTAAAAAATATTTTTATCAAATCAGCAGTAAAGTAATAAATGGAGTGTTTTCCTACAAAAGTACAAAAACTAATTTTAGAAAATGTGTGATTAATAAGAGAAAACTTTCAAGCTGTTATAATAAATAACAAAAACAGCTATACATATAAATGTTTGCAATGAAATAACAAACATAAGAATGTTTAAGTTAACATGAACTTGCACTAAACTGTAATTGTAAACATAAATTACTGCCTAAAAAAATTACATAACTTTGTAAAAGATATACCATGTAAAAATGCGAAACTGAAGGACCTGAGAATCTACAGGTTAATAACTCAAAAAACTATAGCTTTAGAAAACACTAAATTATAATTTGATTATAACTGGAATAAAAATCTGTATTTGATGTATTAATTTCTATATTTTACTAGGAATATGTTCTAATACACCTTGAATAAGTACAATTATTACATACACCTAGCATTAGTAGTATTCACAAAAAGAAATGGGGGGATTACAGAATTAATTCTTTTACATTTCACTAGTATACATTTCAAGCAATAATATTCAGATCACTACAAATGTTCAAAGTTTGTCTGGATCTCCATGAGATCACAAATAGCTATTATTATTGTTATTAAAACACCATTTCAACAAATCTCTATAGCTGTCATTAATAAAAACATATTCTATGGTATCTGAAAAGGCTGTATCAGTAGTGCTTCAATACTTTTGTACCAGCAAACAGAAGAAACATGTATATATATATATATATATATATAGTTGTCTTGCGATACACAATTAATATTTTGTATCCACATCAAATACTGTTCTGAATTTTGAAAATTAACATTTTGATGAATATTCTCCTGAAGAAAAAAAAACAAATTTCCATAAACTATGTTGCTTATATTAATCTTGAAACTAGGATTTACAAACATTTTGTTTATCATTTTAGTACATGTCACATCAATGATTGTGTAGAAAACTAATACTATACATTCATATTTGTAATTGTTTTATCCTAGTTTTAAACTAAGTGCTTAATAATTGTTATTGATTTATGTTAACTAAGTAATTAGTTTAATATTTCTAATAACTTGTAATAATCAGAGAGAATAAACTCCAATGAAAAGAAACTTCCTGAACTTAACTATTCCTTTTCAAAATGGTATATCAACTTAGTGCAAAGAATGTTTGAAACAATTCACTTTATGTAAGTAATTATTTGGCATATAAAAAACTATATATATATAAAACTGATAAAATATTCCCTAGTACAATGTACTTTATTTTAGATTTTAAAATTTTAAATCTGCAAAGTACATATTAGTAAAATTGAAATTTATATTTGAAAATAATCTGACTATCAGATGCATCAATCTTATAATACTCTATCTAGAATCAAACAACTAAAAAATTATAATACCAGCATATACTGTTAACTTGAATATATTTAGTATCCAACAAGAGAACTTGTTATAAACAAATATAGTTAAAAAGTAACAAATACTGAATTAAAAAATAAGAATTGGTCATAAAAAAATACATTGATTTAAACATAACCGATTTAAAACTAAGATAAGACACTAGTACGATTCCTACCTTGCTGAGAATGTAATCAGTAAATTTCCATTTAAACTACATATATTTTCAATTGCATCATTAATCAAAACCTTCAAAATAGAATAATATTCCTAAAGATTAAAACAATAATGTAGATAATATGATGGCTTACATGCTGAACCTTCTATACTTTCCTAAAATATTAATCTCATGAATAAAATTCCAATGGTACTGTTATGTTCCTAAATATTGGAATAATATTTCTTAATATGTAAATAAACAAAGGTTTAAATAATTAAACTGATGAGTTAACATATTCATTATAAACAATTATACATACTCATTAACACAAACATTCTTATTAAGTTAGTAACTACAAATGTTTATAGACTTGACTAACAATCATTAGAAATACAAAGGAAATATGGTATATTAACTCGGTGCAAAGGCTGTTCAAAACAACTCACTTTATGCCAGTAGTTGCTTTGCAAATAAAGCGTATATATATATATATATATACACACACACATACACATAAAACTGAAAACTATATTCCCTGGTAAAATGTACTGTATTTGAAATCTCCAAAGTAAAAAGTAAAAAATTAATCTTAATCTGTATTGGAAGAATTCCACTGATCTATTTTCATTATTTCTAATTTACAAAAAGAATAATCTTAGATTAATCCAGTTGTTTTAAGTACAATGTAATTCATCCACTTCATGAAATGTTTAAGTTGCTTTAATAAAAGTAAAACTTTGGTTTGAAAACTAATGGCCTGAATGTTAACAAGGATACCTACAGATACCTATTTGTTGTAAATTATAATAACTAAGCTGTTAAATACTTAAATGCAATCAATTTCATTTTCCTTCTTGAAAACTGCTCTCAGTAGCATCTCAGTGTTAAATCTTGGGCCAATGACATTCCAGAACACCACAACTTAGACTGATAATTCTACTAATTCTAAACAACTACAGAAAAACTTTTCACCCTTCATACATTTTAATTTTTTTTTTTTTTACATCAGAAGCAATGCAAACAATTCCTTTTTGACAGCCCACCCAAAGAGCTTTAATACAACCTTAAAGAATGAGGAATCAAACCTCAGTTAAACAAAAGTGTATGGTATTGAAAAACTCAGTGCTCATTAACAGTCACAACATATCCTACTTGAGTATTAAGGACTACACCTTAAGTCAACAATCACTGGTTTATACAAAGCCTGAGGCAATGCAAGAGATATATTCTAAACCAGATATAAAGTGATACAAACATCTACTTCTGTATGCAAACAACATATACACCAGTGTTTTAAATGTAACTTTCTTTTATATAAAATAAATGACATAATACTGAATAACAGGAAATCATCAGAAACCCCAATTTTTATTTGACTATCAATAAGAAAACATTTTATACAGTAAAGATAATATTTAAATTATGTTACATATTCATGAAAAATTCTTATCATCATATGATCAGCTGGATGTGCATTCTATTACATGTTGTAATATGTTTTTCTGTGTTTAATTAATTACTACAAGCTGCCTACCACAGTTTCTGCTGAATATCTTGATAGAAATATTTGTTGAATAAATTATTATATTTCAAATTGTTTATACTTATATTTCTGCAAATTAGTTCATTATACTAACCTAAATATCTTTCATAATATGCTATCTCTAATTACTTTTTATAAACTAACAGTGTAAACCAGGATGATACCTACAATCTTTAGCATTATACAACTAAAATTTATTTACCTATCTGTTGCTAAATTCTCAGGACAAACCTACAATTGAGTTCATATTAAAAAAAAACATTTAATATTATGAGTTGGCATGGCCACAACAGATTTTCAAAATATGTATTTTGAGAAAAGTACTCCCTAACAAGTTTATGCTTTTTTGTTCCAGGACAAATATAAACAAATAATTTAAATTGTTTACTTTTCTCAGGGATAGGTGTGCAGGGACAATCTCGAGGGACAAAATGGTGTCTTGTCTATAATGTTGTGTGTTGATACTACTTGCCAAGTAACAACTAGTGTCAAGTATTTATCCACCTACAGAACTACTTTTTTAGAATGGTAAAAGTGTAGAAAAATATCAGTTTTGAGGTTGAAGAATTCTTTGTGAAACTTGTAAGCTGAAGATGGTAAAATAGGAATTGAAATGTATATTAAAATAAATGTGCTGCACATCACATATATATGTAATAGGTGGGAGAAAATAAGTCCCATAATAAGCATCAATAAAATTAATTCAAAAACTAAAGGAAAATAAAAAAATCCAAATAATATTATTCACAGTTGATTTGTTGGTTCACTGAAGCTGAACTTGTTTCAAGGAGACCAGAAATAAGAACAGCAACTGGATCCATAATTTAAACAGCCTATTATGTAGCAAACAAGGACAAAAGAACTGCCAATAAGAGAAAATATAACCCATTATCATTAATCTTGCAATACATTTGTCAAAATCCCAAAACCAGAGAGATGTATTACCATAAAACACTTTTTTGGAATAATTCACGGAAATAAACATTCATGATTTCTGAGCTGAGTAATGTTGTTAGACAATTTAATTTATTATTCATATCCTTAAGAAACTTACACATTTAATTTTATACAAAAAAATCTGGTTGAATGAATTTGATAATGTTCATTGCCTAATTTTATACTTTTCTAAAACTGTTCCTCAAATGTTACTGCAGTTCATACTATATACAGCGACCACCTGTCAACCTAATTATGTATACTGTAACTATACACAGCAAACAATATTCACCAGTCCCTGCAGTGCCCTCATAGACTACAGTTTCACACTGTGAAGAATAGTTGTGGTAAAACTCTCAAGGGATACTTCAATACTATAGGATACAGTACTGCTAAAATCTCATTTATGGACATAATAATAAAGAAAAAATGTATGATCAACCACTGATGGAAAGGATAAAAGTGTCAAACCACATAAAAAAATAACCATCAAATATGTAGCACTGTAACAAACAAAAAATATGCAAACTATCATAGTAACAATAACTTGTAAACTAACAAATTAAGTCTGCACAGAATCTGATGTTTATATATATATATATACATATATATATATGTAATATAATGTAGTAACAAATTAGCTCATGAAGAAACCTCAAAACAAATTATTTTACAAAACTGTGATGTGAGTTTTCTGTCAAATTTAGCCAGCAGTCAATCAGCCCCCTTTTTTTTTCAAAAAGTTATAAGCTAAAGAGGTAAAGTAAAGCCAAAAGAGATAACTACATAAACTGAGGGGAAAAAATACATTAAAATTTATGTTTACTAATAAATCAGGTAAAGGAAAGGAACATAAACACAAGAAAAACTACTAAAACTATTGGAACTCCAATATGCATAAAGTAATTACAGGAATACAAACCAATATCTTTAATGAAGTTGAAAAAGATAGTAACAGATTGCAGGTCCTGACATTAAAATTAAGTCCCTAGAGTCAGTTCTGGCTTGCTCTCCAAAACATTTTAATGAAATGCATAGTCTCATGTAACTATTCATTCTGCTGAATGACCAAGTTATGCAAACCATTACATGATGTATCTTGCTGTAAACAATTAACTCTCATGTTAATTAATAGAAGTCATACACAGTTAACCAAAATTAAGTTGACACAAGATGCAAGTACACAGCCCTTCACATTTTTCAAGAACTGCCATATACAGATTTATATGAAATTATGTCTAACTATTTCTAAGTGTACATATAATGCAAACATGTTTTTGTTGTTTATAATTTTGTTTTACACACAGTAGTACACTTTAACATTCTGATCTTACAGATTAATTAGATGCTGTATTCTTGTATATACATATATATATATAACACAGATCTTTTAATGTAAGTCCCATTTTAAGGTATTAACTGAACTTAAAAATTTGTAATCTTACTGGCATAACCCCTACTGACAGTGAAGCATATAAAACTAAAATTCATTTAAACAGTACTTAAAAAAATAACAATTCAGGTGATTTGAGGCATAATGACCCACTGTGTTCTCCAATTATGCTTAACAAATATTAAACTTAAAATATTTTAATGTTTTTTTATTAGAAACAAAACCAAAAAAGATGGAAATTATCACACCAAAGCACTTTATCAGGTAAATAAATCATAAGTCTCGAGAAAAGAAGGGGTAAGATGTGATGTTCCTGAAGTTTACAAAATTATGCAGGATCAGTAGGATAAAATCCTCCAATTACTTTGTGCTACATTCTAAAGAACGTTGGATGAGAGGATAGAAATTTGAAATTTTGGAAAATAACAGGTTAGGCTCCAGGTAAGACAGTTTCGTTTTAATAGCAGGGTAACTGATTTATTGAATACTCAGTTGCTTGTCATTAGCACTAGTGGAGGCTAGTATTTTACAGGAGTTTAAGAGGGGAATTAATGATTTCTTGAAAAGTAAAAGGAGAGTTTAAATTTTTACTTTTCCAAAAGACTAAGTTGGCCTTTTCTATAGGTTATTTTATGTTAATCCTGCCTCAGAACAGTCTTACAAGTATATTTCCAAAACTTATAAATACTATCCTTCTTTGAATCACACACATTCTTACACATAACTCAAAAGAGACCTTTTAAATGCAGTTCATCCAATATCTCGGCTGGCTCATAATAAGTCTCAAGTATAAATTCATACCTAATTTTCATTAACTTCCTAGTTTAATGTTAGCAAGTTTTTGAATTGAGAAATTAGGACAATAAATTTAAGATAAAATCCTACTACTGCCTACTTAATGAAAGCAGTGTTAGAGCATTCAGTACAATATCAGACTAGTAATAACAAAAAGAGTATTTCAAAAATTTGTTACCTAAACTGGTAAATAATAAGTTGACAGGAAGCCTTTTATTATCACAAAGTAAACCCTTCTCTTACAACTCTTGCAATGTTGAAATCCTAGTTCTCCATTGTCTGTAATGTAATGATTTCTGTTCTGATAAGGCATGAAAACCTTACAAACCATTAATAAAGTCAGCTTAACTCATATTAGTTCTATCTTGCACCCACTACTTAATCTTTTCATGACTTTAGAAATAATTTTTCTACTTGTTTTAGAAACATATTATCCAGTTTTGAGTAACTCGTATTTACTATTTTTTAAAAGTGGTATTGTATGTTACTGTTAGAAGAATCCTACAGAATTTAACATAAAAATCTTACTATAATTAATATTTACATTTACCATAAAGTTGTTAAAAATGTGTTATAATGTTTCAAAACTATGACATATATGACAATAAATTTTAATAATAAGTAACATTTTAACACTAATTGAATAATTTTCATTTGTTTAAAATAATTAAATAATTTGAAGTCTATGTTGTCTAATATTCCTACACACTAAGATACTAAATTTCATTTGTAAAATGTACATCTTCATATGGTACCAAATGTTTTTGTATTTCCATAACTTTTGAGTTCTCAAAGATTAATGCTAGAAAGACTTTTTGATATTGTTGAGATTCCTTCGCTATAAATACTGTATGTTAATTCCTGACTTACAAATATGCAATCAGATTTTATTCTCTAATAGTAAAAACAATATTAACAGAAAAATCAGTCTTAGCTACCAGGTGTTTTTGGTAAAGAAAATTACACAGGGTAGATTATAAGATATTATATATACACTAGTCTATTTTTCAAAGTGGATATTAAATAACAGCAACAAAAATATTTTTTATTTATAACCAGCAGAAGTTAAAATAATATTGAATCAAATAATTAATATAAAAGAGATTACTTTAAAGTATTTACAATTGCACAAAATACAAGAAACAAAATCAGTTTCTAGAATGAGTATGTAACTAGGACACATTTTATAATACAGATTTCTAGTCTAGATCAATACAAGGCATGATTTATACAACATAAATATTCTGTATTTGAAACTTAATTATAAAACTACAGAAAGAGGATGAGGTTATGGCATCACAAAAACTGTGCAATTAAACTGGCTCAACCTGGCATACTCAAACACTTAAGATCATTCTTTGATTTCAAAACAATGATTACACTTTATACTTGTAAAACAAAGTAATAACTCACACAAGTTATACATAAGCTTCAGTGCAGAATACTCGCTGCCGAATCTTGAAATAAAAATTATGCCATGAGCTGAAGGTTTTTCCGGACCATATCCAAAATCCTGAAGTAATGCCAACAACCAAAGTCATCAAATACTTGATCATAAAAACTGCAAAGTCTGGTTTTGGCCAATACTTTTGGTTAACAGGGCAAGGGATACTATAATTTCGCAACTTGCACATCTGGTTTTGCCAGGATAACATCCAGGTATCAAAATATGTCTGTTCATAAAAGTAGCAAGCTAACACAATAACAGCTGGAACTGTGTAAAGTACAGAGAAAATTCCTATACGTATCATGAGCTTTTCTAACTTGTCTGTTCTGGTACCATCGTGTTTCATCACGGTACGAATATGACAAAGGGATACAAAGCCTGCTAATAAGAACACAGTTCCTAGAGCAAGATACACAAAGAGTGGACCGAGAATAAATCCACGTAGGGCATCAACATTCCAAATGCCAACATAACATACTCCACTCAACACATCTCCATCTACTTTGCCCATAGCAAGAACTGTTATAGTTTTAATGGCAGGAACAGTCCAAGCAGCAACATGAAAATAATGGGAATTTTTTTCAATAGCTTCATGCCCCCACTTCAGACCAGCTGCTAGGAACCATGTTAAGGTTAAAACAACCCACCAGATGGAGCTGGCCATGCTAAAAAAATAAAGTAGCATGAACAAAATTGTACAACTTTCCTTTTTACTTCCTTGAGTAATTGTTTGTACCATTTCAACACCAGCTTTACCTCCAGGAGGATCAAAAAGTTCGTTACAAGACACTTTATCTCTAAGAAAAAGTCCCACAACATAGGTCAAAGCCACTACAAAATAGCAAGCCGAGAGAAAAATTATTGGTCTTTCAGGATACCGAAACCTTTTTTGATCCACGATAAAAGTTAAAACAGTGAATGATGTTGAAATCATACATAACACAGCCCATGTTCCTATCCATACATTAGCAAACTTACGTTCCTCATTCCTGAAAAACATTCCATGGCATGGAAGCCCACAGTCCTTTTCTGTCTTTTTTCCAATTCTTACAACATAATCCAATCCTTTTGGCACTCTAAAATGAACAGGACAAACAAATCCTATATCTTTCTTAGTTGTATTTGAAATTATTGGGATGTTCTCTCTATTTGGCGGAGGGGTTCCCACATGGCTTGACTTTCCTGTATTATTTTGTGCAACACAGAGTTTATCTCCATCTACTTCAGGAAACTTGGCACAATCCAAACTTTCTGGCCATTGAAAACCAAATTTGTTCATCAAACCTTCACAGCCATTTTTGGCAGACATGCACAAAGAACGACATGGAGGTAATGGATAATTTAATATTGTGCAAACTGGAGCATATATTGAACACAGAAAAAACTGGAGAACAGAACTACATTTTACCTTCACTAGAGGAAAGAACTGATGCACTTCTAAGCCAGCATCTTCTTGTTTTTGATGATTGAGAAGGTTTGGCATCATTGTCATATTGTACTGAATATCTTTACACAATGGTATCGTAATTGGTTCGCACAAACCGTGCTGAGGGACAGGTTGTTCGCTGCGACTGGCTTGGGCGAGAGCCGGTAGTCCTCCATATTGTAGGCTTATGAATATGACTACTACGAAAAATAATGAAAGTTGGACGTGCATAAACTCCGGGAGTCGGACTTGAGCCATTGCTTCATTAGGCCTATCCTATCGCGGTAATACTAGGTTTACTAACATCAACTGCACTTGTCTGTAATTTACTTTGGTATTACGATAGTCATTTCCACAAAACGGTCAAGTGGCAGTTTGAAAACGGTGGAACATATCAGAAGACATAACATCCCTACTTACTGACATCTTCGACAGTTTCTTTAAAAACAAAACTGAATAAAGTAATTCATTTCAATTATATACAGTACTTGTTTTTCTGACGGAGACAGCGAAACGAAAATACGCTTCCAGAAACAATGTTCAAGCTCATTGGCTAGATACAGCACAGTGGGCGTTGATAATCCCATCTGGTAAGCAGGCTCGGATAAATCCAAAATTTGATTGGTTGAACAAAAACAAAAAAGTCTGCAATTGAAGCTAATTAAGTACGGTGGCGTAGAGATAGATTTCTATATCTTGAAAGCGAAAGAAACTTATTTACCATTGTACTTTAGTTAACTTATACGTAACGATATTACTTGTATCCTAACTTATTCCTCACAAGAAAATTCTTAAAAAATAATGATACCCTTCTATATTTGACTAATAAATCACAATGTAACAAAAGAAGTGATTTTAAAGGTTTACAGTGAAGATGTGTGCATGCAATGCGTCAAATGTTGTACTTGAACCTGATTTTTGGCATTCCGTACTACCAACGTATTTATCTAACAGTTTGTAAGATCCTTCTAATTGTTAAACCAGCATATCAAACTTAAATGTATCCAAGTCACTTTATAACAATTCAACCATTCTGAATTATAAAACAAACAAAACGTGTAAGTATGTAAATTTATCACACATATTTTCTTTTTTATTCGTGTGATTTAAAATTATTTTCAAAATCTCTCATCAGATGGTGCCACATAGCGTAGTAGCTTCTGATTGTGGCAAATTACACTTTCAATTTAAGATTTCATTATTCTAATTTAGTACATTTATTTTGACAATAAATTGTACACATTAATAGTAGAATTTTATTGTGTTATACGTTTAATGTGATAATATATATAGTTGTTTGAATAAAATTTGTTTATTTATTTATTTGTTTTTGCTGTAAAATGGATTTACCTTTATATTTTTAAATATTTAACGGATTATGGATTATAGTTATACGCCCTTCAGATATATAGGGGAATTCCTATGAGGATCTTGTGGCATGCTCCGTAACGCTCTCGTCAACCAACTGAACAGGATTAATGATTCTCTCGAAACGGTGGATGACATTTTGTCTCGCTAAATCACTCTTTAACAATGATCACAAAGCCCATTCAGCTGAGTTTTAGAACTAGCTATCATTCAGTTATGCAAGCTATCTAGGTGTCAAATCTACTACCACCAGCCATCCTAATCTAACTGTGTTAATTGAGCAGATCATTCAATATCCCAATGATATCTATCATAGTGAAACTGCTTGATAGCTTGGAAAGTGAGGCTCGCAAAGCCCTTTCCGTCTTCTTAATCATGCAATTTACAAACCATCCAACCTGAGATAATTGAGTGGTAATTACACAATGTAATGCATACACTGTGCACTTACAATGTACCCCCCGATAGCTCGAAAAGCAAAGAACGACACCTGTCAGTTAATGATAATTTAATTACACGATAGTCCTAGTTGCATGATGACCAAGTGATAATCATAATGTAATGCATACAATGCACCTTACAATACCACCCAATAGCTCAAAAATCAAGGATGCTGCTTCCTTTCAGTCATTTCTAAATGAATGTCTGAAATGTTTGATGATGATTAGGCTTACTCCAAAACATATCAATTGGAAGGTCATTGGCGACTCTTGGACAACTGCTGGAGCTATTTCTAACCTCTAAAACCTGGAACTTTTTCATACGACTCGTCATGAATCATATAAAATCAGCATCAGGAGTTGCACTTTCTATCCCTGAATTCATTTCAGACAGGTCACTGTATGAAATGATTAAGGAAGTAGTCCAGATCTCTCTTGACAGTACCTTCAAATTTGGGGGAGAAATCTGCTGAGTTTTACTCACAAGCCTTTCTCCTATAGGCATAAACGTCTTAAACATCAGGATATACTTAGAAACCTCAACACTCTGACGAGCAGTAGATCTGTGCTCTGGAGCAGCAGAATGGCGAGATGAACTTTGCAGTTCGTCCATTGTTTCTATGTGAACCCAGACTTTACTGCGATCTATGGTCGCCCTGGTCACTTACTTGCAAGCTCAGAGAGGCCCACAATTGCCCCATGGCTCACCGTTTTCATCAGTTAGTGCTCACCATCTTACTTACAAGTAAAACAGTTCCTGTTAGTGAACTCTGTCCACCACCATTAGCACCTCCAATCTCTCTCTGGTAGTCTTTGATGGCTTCAACCATCTCCCTTCGGTGACTTTTGGTTGTACGTCCTTTGAATTGTAGGAAAGACCATTTTTTCAAGTACAAAGCCTTTTTACTCTTAATAACATAATAGTTTAAGTAAAGGGCAATATATACATCAGAAGAAAAACAGACAACTTTACATTAATATGTCCTGTTGTTATGACACCAAAATTTTATTCTTTCTATTCACTCTATAGTATATTTAAGTAAAACTAAGTTAACCTTAGAGCATTAGAAGAGGTCTGCTTAATCACCGGAGATTCAATAACATATTTATTATGAAGTAATATTGAATATACGAGTAAATGAATTCATGAGAATGAAACAAAGAGACTTGACATAATGTAATGTACAAACGAACAATATCTATTATATCACATGCAAAACATAAATACAGTGTACCTACTTGCCTTTAAAGATACTGGAAGTCACTCTTACTGGATCAGGCAACTACTATTAAAACTGATCTAGTTAAGATTATCTAACAGACTGTTAAAATTCAATGTTCCTTACTTCATAGGTAGTATCGGAGTTACCCAGAGCAGTGTGCGTTATCATACGACTGGTCGTTTTCATACAACATAGTGAAGGCTGTAAATTTAAGATATCATCTACTCGGCCAGTGAATGACAATGCTGTCGTTGACCTGTTCTGCACAATGTGCAAAGTTGCAGCAATATCTTCACAGGTAAAGTAGATACTATTTGTTAGTGGACAACCAAGGAACAAAGGTTAGTAGAATGAAAACAGCTCAAGAGTTTCCTGGGTTATGCAATCATACTATATGAAAATTTTTGAAAATTTGAGTTCGAATTCACACCAAACATGCTCGCCCTTTCAGCCGTGGTGGCGTTATAATTCCATTATTCGTTGGTAATAGAGTAGTCCAAGAGCTGGCAGTGGGTGGTGATGACTAGCTGCCTTCCCTCTAGTCTTACACTCCTAAATTAAGGACGATTAGCGCAGAAAGCCCTCGTGTGGCTTTGCGCGAAATTCAAACAAATCTTTGTCATTACATTGAAATAATGCGAATATAGGCGTAAAACTGTACCTTGTGGATAAAGATCGACAGCGATGGTCTCCAACGGTAGGTCAGATGATGTCCTGAAGTTACAACCTTCTTTATGTTTGAAGGGAATGATCAGTCGTCTGTGCGTAGTGCTAATCACCATGGATAAGACTGATATTATCAATTCAACTAAGTAATGTGAGATTTAATCAGTCTGGAGTATCATCTTGAGTGGGGTGGTCAGCTCGAAAATAAGCCTTGAAGGAGTATAATCAGCCTGATCAATCCACCTCTCCAGAAAATACGACATTCTGTCGTCCAAAAAGGTAGATCACACACAATATTATTTTGTATTGTGAGAATAAAAATTGTTTCATTGTGCATTACATATCGTGTACAGTGTATTTATTTCTTTGCTTGAACTCGGTTAATTCAGCGAAATTCATTACTTTGCAATACATCTTGCCAACTCTCCAGTTTTAAAGTGAACCTACCTCACTTATTTTTTCGAGAAATTGGGTTTTCCAGAATATAACATTGGCTGTTTTTTAAATTAAGAAAATGTATAATAACCAATTACCTACTCTTCAAATTAATGTTTAATTACAAAACTATGTAAATAACGTTTAGTAAACAAAATTACTAAGTGGATATGTAATTTTGTGAAATGCGTCAAATGTTCATATTTTAAATGTGTCGATAGAGTATTTGAATGGAGTAAAATGAAACACCGTGATATAACAAATTCCATTATTTCTAATGTGAATAGTAGACGGCGCATTATCCATTGACTAGCGAGATGGTGGGAATAAGTGGTACTGGGGAAACAAGTTTCGAGGAATACAATAAGTTAGCCATAGATTTGGAAAAACAAGAACTCGATGTATGTATTTAAGTCTTATAATTTAATAATGTTACAATTCTTTATAAATCTAAGGTTTTGAAACATTCCGAAAATAGTGTAATTATTCGAGTATTACACTTAGTATACTGTATTATTATTAATGTATACTATAGTCTCGAAGAACATTAACGATAAGTTAACTAACTTCAACAGTTCAACTAAGCATATTATTACTATTACTAGTTGTAGTATTAGTAACACTGATTAGTAGTACTATCGAAACAGTAATTATTTCACTACGATGTGAAGAGACATTTTCAAAAATTAGTCAAACTCGCATCTAAATCGTTTTCTTCTAAATAGCTTAAGACTAAGGAATTGCTCCTAACTTTTGTAGGATAGAATAGTACTCATTAATAGAAGTGTGGAAACATTAGTACTAATAGTACTCTCACTATTTAATTATAAGAAACATCAAAAAACTTAAGTAAAAAATCAGCAACATGAGATAATAATACTAGTAGCTTCAAATAACCCAATTCACTGAAGACAAAAGTATTTGACGTACTTAGGGGCTTGAAATTGTGCAGACCAAAGTGTCAGATATTTATGGTGTATCCCACATAGGGAACACAGAAACACTAGTTGTTGGCTTGAAGTATTGTTGTAGAAGCAAATTTCTATGAAAAACATAAACATGGTATAATATTTGTTTTTATTCCAGTTTTCCTAACACTTCTTTTGATCAAAGAAAACTCATTAAGCCACTCGTATATACTGTCTAATGTTAGAGGAATGGCAAGTGTGATAATTTATAAGATACTTTACTGTTTATAATGTGTCAAGTTAGAGTAGCGATAATTTTCTTACAGTACAACCAAAATAATGCTTATGAAGATATGAAATAATAAATAATTAAAAAATACCTAAACCAACTTTGAAAACATAAAATGTTAAATGTAAAACAAGGAGAACAACATGCTAAATATGTGTCTAAA